GAGAGAAGTATGGTCAGAAACGTAGTCACGTGACTAAGACTGTCGCTACCCAACTACGAGCTTTTACTTACCTACAGAACCAGATATGATTCAGGTGAAATATACACTCGCGTAATGATGCCTCTTATTTGACCCGTCTTGTTATAGCATTCGTGGTGAAGAAATCAACGGGGAACCGGAATTGATAGCCTTGATGCATATAAAGTTACGCATGCAGCCACAATTCAGATTATTTTTAGAAACAATATTGTAATTCAGTATGATATTGATCCATGCTGTGGGTCATTGGAAGAAAGTGAGATATTTATTAATATTTTTTGTTGTAAATTAAAATCTCGCCAGTTTTTTTTTTTTTTCTTAGTGACAATTTACCCCTTCCCTTTGTAGGAGATTTTGTCACACGTACGTATATGGGATTGTTAAGTTGTGGTCACATGAATTGTCATCATTTACTACATAGTTAACACGCTTTCGCTTTCGAGAAAAGAGCATAACTTGAATAATGCAATTAGATAAGTTTAGATATTTTTATTTACATTTGCATGTGGATAATTTATTCATTTATTTTTTGTGATTCAATCGCGGCCAAAATATGCTAATAGTACGAAATACATATATGTGTATACACTGTATACCAACTGAATAGACCGGTATACGTCGGATGGACGAACAGACGCATGAACGGACGGGTGCCCAGTCTGAAGCAAATAAGCCTGACGCACACTTTAATGCATTAGATGCATGATTATCAAACTAATAAAATCCAACGAAATAACTCGATTATTCTCGAATAATTAATTCGATCATATCTGACAAATTATGACATTTCCGTTAATTGATTATAATTGCTGGCCGTATAGACAACTGCAAGATTAGGCCTTTAAGACAGACCATACGAACAAACACAGCAAAATGCTGAGAGAGCCTAGCTACAAAACAGCCAATCAATTATAACAGATATCAGCATCCAATCTAATGATGATAATTACCCATTAGCTTAGTAAAGAGATATGTATAGTGTTTTTTTTTTTCAATTACAGTCGTCTATATCCGATTTCCTGAAAACGCATAACGTCAGCTGAAGCGGAAACTGATATTTTGAGTCTATACTGATATATCTATAGCCTCGTATTACGCATAACGATATGCGATATCCAAGCATTAATGCAAATAATTGTATTTATTTATTTATTTTTAAGTTTCTATGGCCACATAACTCGTTCAATTGCACCCATAATGCAATGTTGTCAATATTGAGAACTTCAATGTGTGAAAAGCATGTTAATCGAGTTGTAAACGAAACGGTATGTTATATTAGTTGCAGAGACCAAGAAGTGATACGAGATGAAAAAGACAAATACAAATGAAAAACAAACAAAACAAAAATTATCGGGATGGGGAGCAGCCCATGATACCTGCATCTGATTTTAATCATATTAACGTGCACGTGCATGCATGTAGAGTGCGAGCACGTGTGTAGATGTGTCTCCGAAGACAAAACTCAATATCGCATAGAATATCGCACACACAGCTTCCAACAGTGTTAATGCGAAGATAGGCACAGAATCCAGAAAAAACTAACCCATTTGTTTCACTCAATAAATTGAGAATTGCCACCCTCTCGAAATTACTGGTGAATATTGATGAAGGATTCGGGTCATAAAAGCTCCTTCTGATACTATTAATTCAAAATGTGCGCACCTACGTAATTGACTACGTTGTATAATAAGCGCATTGTAATGAGGGGGTTGTAGCAAGTATATGTGGCGGCAATGTTTGTACAAGGACTATATACATGGTTGTGTGCAGACATTAATATAACAAATAGCCACTAAAGTCCACTTCACATTTCTGTATAAGCTGTTCGCTGTTGAATGAAATGTGTCTCGGTGCCAGAAGAGGTAAAATGTTGCATGAAACCATTGTATTATTATGATACACAGAATTAACCGACTTGGAGCTGTTTGAAGGTCAACATATAGTTCATCCTATCCACGTATCCCTGATTTGGTTCGCAGCTTGATACAATGTTACGCACGTTCATCGTGTTGGTTCTGATTATGATTATAACGTGTAATTGAATATTGTATTGCAGGTACGTGTTATCGCGAATCTGTATGCCCAAGTCCTCAATTTGTGTTCAAACAATTTTTGAATAATTTAGGTGATTTGTTTTAATATTTTTAGAAATCAGAAAGTCACTAATGTGTCACATATATATTTTAAAATATTTAGTAAATCAATATAAGTATCCGTGATATTCACTCGTGGTAGCGATTTAGTCATTTGGAATATTTCAATAATGCAATAAAGTTAGTTCTAATGTCGCCGATCAATACAAAACTTTCAAGGGAATTCAGGCTATGGGACATTCGCCTATAATTATATTTCGATGCGAAATAATGCGAATAACTGACAGTTTATTGTTTTATATCAACCTCTGTCGTGGCAAGCATATATTAGTTACTGTACATTACGTTGTGTTACAGAAGTAGGGAGACACGCTAATTTGTCGGATAGTAACACTGTAATGCGCTTTATCATTTGCAAATACACCTACGCTATCGATACCCAGTCAACCCATGAAAACAATTCATAATGTAATGTTCACCTCGATGCGGGTCGGTGGTCTCAACATTTTAAAACAACTACAGGGACAGAATCTAGACAATATCATCAACAACGAATTCAAACTTAAAAGTGAAACTACAAAAGTGGAATAATAATAGCGATGCACTTTGTAAAATACGTGTAATTTGAACCAATAGGTCTTAGTTTACAAGGACACTATCCAAGTAATTATGCAGGTACAGTGGTTCCCTACCAAGGTGATCAGCCGACCCCCCCCCCCCGCAAATATAAGTAGCTGTAACGTGGCAACAATTTAGATGCAGTATTGAAAATAATTACTGTTTTACTAGAAGTACAGGGACGTATGATCTCTAGGGGTCACTAATAAAGCTTATTAACTCTGCAATGTTATTCACCCGTCTAATCTAAAGTTTAACGTATTTAGTTTCTAACATAGTATGTCGTAATCATTTTGGCCTGTGTAATAATAATTATCTTTATTGCGTTCATACCCCTATTAGGATTTTGACTAAAATACAATACAGATGTGAATAAAACAATAAAAGTGAGAATAAAAATACACACAGGAAAATAAAAACTGACAAGCAAATAAAAGTAGGAAAAAAATGTGATATGTGTGATAAGATGACTAAGTACGTTGAACTTATATGGTACATCGGTACACACCCGTCATCTTTTCTCGAACCCAATCCTAGTTCACTCATCCACAGAATACACTAAAGTTTAACACACATTAAAATTTATCATAGATACACCGGGAATGTAATGATCCTGAAGAGTGGCTGACTGGAACCAAGTGCCGGGTGGTCTTTTTTTTTTTTTATTATTTTCAAAGACATAATCTCAGAATGCGTTTGCGATAGCTGGTAGCTGATACTGCGACGTCCGACCTAAGGTGACCCGCAATATCCCCCTCACTGATCGGAACTTGAAGAGGGTCATTAAAATGTATGTGAATAATGGGATATAAGTCACGTCTTCGAAAATCTATAGAGAAATGAAATAGTCCAAAGAAAGAAGTATCACACTCAAAGAAAAGTACTAGTAACCATTAAATCAATTTGTTTTTCTATCCCGCACTGTATTCATTTATACACTATGTTTGTTTATTTTTTTTTATTTTTTTGGCCAGACCTTGTAATAACAATGAACTGGTCTTGGCCTATGTTGTATCAGTGTGTTTGTAGACTAGTCTTGACCTATCTTATACGACCTCGTATCACAAACCCAACTACTGCCTTTTTTTCGCATTGTTGACATGACATGACGATCGAACAATGACAACCATGCATATTAAATTTTCACCACGGCAAGTCTGCTGCCCATAAATGAAATGGGTCGGAATTGTATTATGCAAACAGAACTTGTTCAAATAGCTATTTTTCATGCAGCCATTCCACGCATTATATGCGCAACGTTCAACGCTTGGCCATATACGCCGTATGGACAGTTTGTGTTTATTTCATGTAATGCAATCAGTGATATGTTCATGATATTTTTCCCGTTACTATAAATACCGGGCAAGACAGATCAAATGTTCGAGGCCGTGGTATTGTGTCACCTACCCGTGTTGCATATCTTGTACTACTGTTACGTGAGAGGTCGTAACCGTCCAGTGCGGGTTGAACAGACCAGCCAACAACCTTTTGTACATCTATGCAAGGACAGTTTTCAATGCCGCGCTTTTGAATGAAATAACAATATCACACACTAATGAAGTCGGATTATACAAATAAAAATAGGGGATATTTAAAATAGTACAAATATTGCAAAGTAATAATCATTCATTGGGCTTCTGGCATTAGAATTGTGGCTTATAAATTATTTATTCTTTTGTACTCGACCAACCAATCAGAACCCAGCAAGCCTGGATTTTTAAAAATACCCGCCTTTATTCTCTCAGCATTTCCCCCTAGTTCGTTGTTGAATTTACAAAACGTTTAGAACAAATAAATAAACAGTTCCAACACAGTATGCATATAACAAGACCGAGAAGACATTTCATTGACGATAAGAGGTCGCATTTTGAGAAGTTTGAAAAAAATTCTTATCATCTGATATCAGACGGCTTTGGTTCATTTGCATAAGTTACACAAACATGGCTGACTTGTTGACTGGTAAGTATGGATCGGCTCGATTTTTTACTTTTTTTGTACGTTTTTACTGGCTAGACACATACAAGGTTTCACTGACGTATTTATGTGTACCACATAAACTGTTCTGGCTATTTTGAGAATCGTAGATAGGGGAAATTGATATTTATGTCCGGTTAACTCGATGTAACTTGTCGACATAGCGAACTTTGAACGTCGGCGAGCCACTCACTCACTGACATGACTGACTGGTTGTACTTTGTTTGTGTACATTATATATGTTTCGTTCTTTTCATGTTGACGTTTTTATTCCAGCTCACCCAAATGATACATCTGCCAGTATATCAGCGCCAAGGTTAAGTTTGCTGTCAAATAACGCAAGTCCGTATACCCTCAACGCAAATGGGAAAGTTCCCGAGGACAAGTCTGTGTTTCACCGAACGGACGAAAGAATATCACAACATGTGAAATATGGCCTAGCGCCACGGAATATAAACTATCATGTTAACTATGCCGGATATCCCCCTGAGGCTACCAGATCTCGAAGTCGGCTACACCGATTCGTCTTTCGTAAGAATGGAAAAGAAAAGAACACATCGAACAGAAAAAAATGGGCAAATGAGACGCGGGATAGAGATGTCTTATTGGCCGTCGATGCAAGTTATGACGGTCAGGAACATTATGATCGCGACTCGTTCAAGTTCACCGACTGGGTCTTTGGCGAGACAGACACTGATATCGTTGATGACATTCAAGTATATGCGAAAAACGTGAGAAAAGAAGTCCCTCTGCGTCGAAGTGCTTCCATGAATGCGCCGCGGTGTCGTCAAAATATCCTTTCCCTGAAACGAAGTTCCTCGTTCAGGATCGATTCCCAGGGAAACAGCGAGGAGAGCAGCGGTGCTTGCAGTGATTGGGATACAGGGAGTGATTTCACAGCCAATACTGTGGGATACAATCCAGTTTTAACCTCTAACTCTAGTTTACTAAATATTACAAAAATAAATAAACCATTGCTACAAAAATTACGTGAAGAAATTCCTCTCAGAGAAATGAAACGAGCTGCGTCCATAAGTACATTATGTAGTAATACTAATATTGATAACTCTAGCTGCTTATCTACTGATTCTGGATTTTACACAGCCAGTACGCATGTTTTTGAAAAAAGACAATTAAACGACGATACATCGTTGGGAAACACTGTAAAGCTAGCGTCAAAGACCAACGTTAAGAAAAAAAAAGGTAGGAGCTTATTTGGGGGGAAATCAAAGAAAAAAGGCAGTGATTCTGAGAGTGAAAGTAAAACTGATGCAGAACATGGAGTAGCCAAAAATGGTGGATTAACCGCTGATGGTGGTAAACATGCGGATGAATCAAAAGATGTGTTGAGTGCAACTTTGAAGAATGAAAAACTCGGAAACAATGTCAAGAATGTAAAATCAAATTCTTGTAAAGTTGACAGGACACCCAATTCTGCAACATTGGGGGCTGGTGGATGTACTGTGCAACGAACTGATGTTCCTTTACACGGTGCTATGCATATGTCAAAGTCTGGTGCAAATTCTGCTGATTCAACAGAAAATAAAACTGGCAAGTCAGCAACTATTGCAAAGAAAGGTGCATCACATGATTCTGGTAAGAAAACTCGTATCCCCGTTAAAAATATAGCGAGTTCATCCACTTCTTCACAGACACCAAAGTCCACTATGACTGATAAGCATTTGCCGATTGCTGTCTCACCAGGAAAAATGTTACATAACGGAACTGAAAATCGGGCTGTTGTCGGAAAACGTAATGAAAATCAATTTCTGAGGGGTGGAAGTCTGCGTGAAAAGCAAAAAAAGGATCAAGAAACAAAATCTTTGCAGCGAATGAACAGTTTACCATTGAAAAAAATGAATGGAAGTAAAAAGAAACACAAAAAAGAACTAAAAAAGTTGGCCTGTCTTGAAGAAAGTAGCAAAACTCAAGATGGGAAAGAGATAACACAGGGTAAACTGAATACAAAAAACAACGATAAAGCTGGTTTGAAACACTGTGATACTTTGAAAGAAAAAGATAAAAATGGTAAAAAAAGTAATAAATCAAAAGATGTGCTACATGGTACTGAGAAGACAGCTGTTTCAAAAAAGGAGACAACAAATTCTGGGAAGGTGCCAGATGTCCCAAACCAACAAAACGGGACAAAGAAGGAGCAAAATATTAAACACAAACAACGAAGCAGTGAAAATATGCATGTGAAAAGCTTGGGTGATAGTTCACAAAATTGTAATGTAAAGCAGGTCAAAAGGTCATTGGTCAAAGTTCCTGCTTTACCAACAACAACAACAACTGGGGAAGTTGAAATTAATTCAGATCAAAATCAACTAAGAAAAACTACTCCATCTAAACTACCCAAACCCAGAGGCGTTTTAACACCACCTAGAAAAGACATTTACAAAGCAGCGTCTGTGTCAGGCACAAACTCTTCACATAAAGATAAAATTAGTGTAAAATATCCAGGGAGTCATGTCACAGTTCCAGGCAATTTTGCTACTGCAAGCGTATCACTACATGATGAAGGAGTTGATGGTAAAAAAACACGACAAAGGAAAGTTGCAAATAAAGTAGCTAGGCCTAGGGCTCAAATGAGTTCTCTGAAAGGTGTGTCCAACACATACCGTAATACCTCACCCTCTGTTAAGGGTGACCCAGCTTGTCCCCCTGACATGCAATCTGCTGACCAAGAGATGAATTTACATGTTTTGAACAGTGAGGTGTTAAATCGGTCAGCATGCAAAGGTTCGAATAAGTCTCCGGAGGACAGTATGAAAAAAGGTGTTGTCGCTAGCACTGATTTGACAAAAGTACAAAAAAACAGTGTGAAGCAGTCTGATTGCTGTAATAGATATCCACCTATTAGCCATTCAAGAGACATCGCTAAGTCTGTTCACCCCCAGGGACATGTTTTCTCCAACAAAAGAGTCCAACATCACTCATCTGTTAAGTCTGCACAGTTAGGTGGCAGTCCAGGTACTTTAACCATAGGAAATACATCAGCTCCTGTGAGAAAGGATAGTGAACACAGTGATTCAAACTTAGCTGATGTGAATGAACAGACAAAGTGTTCAGATAACGTATTGACTAATACAGACATCGATTGCCAAGATAATGAGCCCTTGTATATTCTAAAACATGCACAGTCAATTAGTCTCAATGATCTGCTGGATGAAAGCAATATGGAATCAGACACTGATTCCACGCTTGACTGCAATTCTGAAGTGCAAGGTGTGGCCACAAACATTTATAGCAGTCCTGGTGAGATGAGCCAAATTACCAGGACAATGGCTGCTTCTGATATCAATGCTGATTATATTAAAGATGGCGTGCATGGTAGTCAGGAAACTGAATACCATAAAATCAACCAGCCACTTGTAAGCTTAAAACCAACCAATAATTTCTCGGATACAGGTGTGTCTAAGCATGTTGTAAATATCAACAAGAATGCAGTGGGTGGAGACGAACATGGGTCAGATCAGTGCACAATTAGACCAGAGATAATGAACTCAGTTCTCGATTCGTGTACCTCTTCAGATCAAGAAGGCACACAACGCCAGACTTGTAGTAAAATACAGTCTGTATCAACCACAGTAAAAAAATCACAGTACTTGCACGTACAACATGAATTACCATTATCTGGTCGCTCAGAAGTATTTGATCGTTTACAGGGAAACAGTGGATCCCCAGTATGTGATACAGCAGAAACTGTTGATAAAGTTTGTGAAGGAAATACAACCGAATTGTTAGATTCACAAAACACTGCAGAAATTGATGAAAATGAAAATCAGGTTGGACCAAGTAGGTTGATATTGCATCCAAGTTTGGTACAACAGGAAAGAGTACAAAAAAAGTATGTGATGATTAAAGATAAATTGTTAAATGAGGAAAACTCATCGATTAGATCATCTCGTCTTCCGCAGTATGTGAACAAGAACAATTTTCATAAGTCAATTCCTACCAAACCAAAGATATCTCCTTGTCCCACTTTGCAATCAAAGAAATCGCCTGACAGTTCCAAAGTACAGCGCAATCGACTTGTAAATGAAGCGTATAAACAGGGAGGAACAGCCAAAAGTGTAGACAGTTGCAGTCAGTCATCACCGCCTTTAATTGCAGAGTGTCCTACTACACCTGTGGCTATACATGTTGTAGATGAGTCTAAAAACATGGCTGAAAATGAAACATTTAATGCCAGGCACGGCCTGACGGAAGTTAGTTCCACAGGGAGGTCGTGCATGACAGTGACCCCGTCCTCCATTAGTCCAATCATCGATCAAGAAAGTGCAGAGAGACTTTCTTGTCAAATGCAAGAACTCCCAAGAGAGAGAAATGAACAGTTAGTACTACGAAAACAACTTGGCAAACCAAGTGGCGTTTACAATCCATATACTCCAGGTAAGTTTGCTTTGTACTTTTATTTTCTGGTAGTGACTATTAATTGCAATACTTGTGTGTGTTTACTGTGAAACAAATCTCTTTAGTAAGCATGATATTATGGCTAATCTGATCTGCCTTCCCAAAAGACAAAAAATCAGAATAACGAAATTGTGTCATTGCTAATTCTCATAGCAAAAATACCACAAGTCTGGGAAGCTTAGATTAGATGAATGATTAAGTGTTGTGTTGGCTGAAATGATATGCACAGTATAGAATTTATTGCAATATGTGTACTGTAAAAGGTTAATGAAATTACAAAATGCAATGTGCACACACCTCACCCCCCCCCCTCCCCGCGTACATGTAGGTAATTTGTAGCACATTGAGTTGGCTACCATTAAAACACATTACCAAATTTCCTTGAGTCCTACAGTATGGTTTTATTTTAATACAGTTGCTCGCAAAAAGTACGTAGACATCCTACTGTTTTCCTCACAAAAAATAGGCAATTTTTAAGCCATTTATCATTGGTTCCCATGGCAACAAGTTTTTGTCATATCTCAAAATTTTGTTTGAGTATATATGGTGAAAAAATCATATACCGATACAGATGGATTATTATGAATTTTTTTAGAAAATTTTTTTTGCATGTTCCAAAAATCTATAAGAAGTATTTCATATTGCCCAAAAGTCGTTGACTTTTGTGCAAATCAACTATTTTGTAACATTGTTGAAACAAAACGTGATCATTTTTTGGCTCTAAAATCTAACAAGTCAAAATTATTTATGCAAAGTACCATTTTCATCATATGGAATGAATACTCCTACAAAAGGAAAGTATTCTCTCCATTCCGATCAAGAAAAAAAAAATATTTTAAAATACCAAAAGTTCTCCATATTACATATTACTTTTAAACTCACTACCTTATCAAAAACTTTGTTATCTGTACATGTATTGTGCAAGAGATGTACAAAGCAGCATGCATTATATTACATAATTATACAAACTGATACTCAAATTCCTTAGATATTACACATACATGTATGTTTTAATTAATTATTGATTTGAGTCTGAACATTTTTTTAGGAAGGAAAATGCATCTAGCAATAAACCATATTGAGTTTTACTGGCATATTATTTGCCCTGCTTAACCTTGATGCCAATAGTTCAGAGTACAATATACACCAGTAGTAGTTACTGTCAAGGCAAGAAGGTCATTACAATGTATTTATGATAGTTGCCATGACATCACAAACCAATATATATATATATATATAGCTATATATTAATACCTATGTGTCAGTTACTAAGTATACTTGTTTTAGTTGACTACCCAACTACCAAAAGCTGGCTGTCCACATGGGTTTGTATATGTGTGTCTGCAGTGCAGAATTTGATCGTTTATAAAAAAAAGGTTTTGATGCATGTGTAATGATAAGCACTGTGACATTGGATTTCTAGAACTTTATCATCACAAATGCCTTAAATCAATTACTATAATTATTTTTGATATGTCGGGGGGGGGGGGGGGGGCTCAGCCATGTCATACATAAAGTTAAGGCAATTTTTAAATTGAATTGAAAGTTAAATATAATTTTATTCTTAGTTTATAGACATGTATAATCTTGTTCACATCATTCAAATACCGAAAATTGTGGGTTCCTTCTGTCTTCTGAATTTTCTTGAAAAATACCTAATTTTCCATTTTTCTTTAGCATTGATTGATTTCTATGGTAAATTAACTTCATTGATAGACATTGTGCTCAGTGATATAGGTTGTGACAATTCAGGAATCCTAATACTCAACTTACAAATGTACATTTAATTCAGTGAGTTTTCATTTTGATAATTTCTTATCATATTCAAAGGTAAAGTCTCTCATACACTAGTCTATAGTGTCTTTCTCATAGTGCATTGTATTTCTCCTGTTGTGTATTATGTCTCTCATAATGTATTTTATTTCTCCTGTAATTCATTTTATCTCTGCTGTAGTGTATTGTATCTCTCCTGTAGTGTATTGTCTCACGCAGTGTATTGTATCTCTCCTGTAGTATAGTGCATCTCTTATGTAGTGTATTGTGTCTCTTCTATAGTGTATTGTCTTTCTCCTGTAGTGCATTGTATCTCTTCTGTAGTGCATTGTATCTCTTGTGTAGTGTATTGTGTCTCTTCTGTATTGTATTGTCTCTCTTGTAGTGTATTGTGTCTTGTAGTGCATTGTATCTCTCCTGTAGTGTATTGTCTCACGCAGTGTATTGTATCTCTCCTGTAGTGTATTGTCTCACGCAGTGTATTGTATCTCTCCTGTAGTGCATTGTCTCACGCAGTGTATTGTATCTTTCCTGTAGTGCATTGTATCTCTCCTGTAGTGTATTGTCTCACGCAGTGTATTGTATCTCTCCTGTAGTGTACTGTCTCACGCAGTGTATTGTATCTTTCCTGTAGTGCATTGTATCTCTCCTGTAGTGTATTGCCTCTCTTCCATGGTATATTCTTCTGTAGTGTATTGTCTCTTTCATAGTGTATAGTGTCTTTCTCATAATGTATTATATCACTCTTCTAGTGCATTGAGTCTCTCTTGTTTTGTTTTGTCACATTGTCAATGTATACAGCTCAACTTTTTTTATGGTAGTAGCACACACTTAAATGTCATAAGTTACCAAAATCACCAACAAACCTGTATCATTTTGTTCCTAAAAATAATTGATCAAGAACTGTAAGTGGTCTATGGGAACTCGGGTTTATTCCTGTCACAGCCATACTGTTCTCAACACCAAAACAAAACATTACCAGCTAAGTTGCTGACTGGTTTGCTATGTGCGTCTGGAGATCGTTGCATGATTGAAACAAGCTGGGTCAAACAAAGCTCAATAGGAGACGTCAAACTAAAAGTACGGGACTCTGATACATGGAATGTAATTAGAAGATGCAATTACTTTTCAATTTATTTCATCCAATTGTATAAATTGCTGTATGACAGTAGCAAAGTTATTGAAACAAATTAAATAAAATGTATGTACTGATATAATTTTGCATATGGTAGATACAGTCCTGATGTGTAGACTAGTGTATGTCACAACGCAAGTTATTCAGTCGAGTGGCACACCCTCGCAAATCTCTCATTAGTTCTAATTTTGTACAATCTTGAGACGTGCGTTGTAAACCAATCGGCATCTTAGCTAGCGATGTTGCTGTTTTGGGGTTTGAAACAGTATGGTGGTGACAGTATTATAGTTTAAAATTTAAGAAAAAAACAATATAAAAATACTTTAAAACGTGCAAAATGTTTGGTAGAAAAAAAATTATTGTGCTCAAATGTTTGACCCATGCAGTCACTTGTCAGTTTAAACAGGTTATCAGCATAATACATTGCTATGATTTATACATGCCACGCCACGTCTTCAGGAGTTCATAAAACTACAATACAGTGTTTAATGTTGAATCTACGAATCCCCTCCAACATGGCAGCTAATTAACATATGAATCCTTGGGTAACACATATAACGGTGAATGCCATCATGGTAGATATCAATAACTTATTGTTTTTTACGCAGTGCTTAAAATATGCTTGTGAAATATCTTTGGTAATCGCTTAATGGAATGTACGTATGTACATGGCTAATAAAATGGTCTCTCTGTTCGTGGCTACCTTTACAAACAGTTCTTTTGATATTATTCCTTAATAAAAATGAGGTGTCAAGTAAGTGTTGATAAGATTTTGTTAGTTTGATAGCTGTAATGTTTGTCGTAATAACCCTCCTTCCTACTCAACACCTAGTTTTAATATCAAGAATATTATATAATACAAACGAAGCCTTATTTCTGGATTTTCATACTGTATTTATTGAGCTGTCTGTTTGTTTATTTAGTTTTTTTCCCCCAACATTACACACTTCATAGTTGGTGCTGTTTTGTGCCTGTTAGTATCAGGAACAGAACTCGCCAACAAAGAGTTTGTTATACATGCATGTTATTAATAGAGGTACAATTGATTTGTATTAATAATATCGTGTATACTTTCAGTTAGACATTTAGTAACTTTTTTATTTTTAATATGAGATGTGCATTTATGGCTTTTTGTAAGTAACTCAGCAAAGTAGAACCCCCCCCCCCTCGAGTTTAGCTTCAGCTAAATCCAAATGCTGTTAGATCAAGAAGCGATTTATTTCATTATTATGAACTTGCCCAACACAGAATTTGTGTGTATGTTTGTGTTCTAGTAAATATCGTGTCACAAATATCACATAATATTTATTCAGAATGGCCTAATATGGAAACTTTTCAAACTACTAAATGTCAAATGATAAAGGGAACTCAACTTCAAGAAATAGACATGTTTGGAGTACGCTGGTTACTGAGCATGCACTAGTATCGATCTTGCGATTGGAAGAGGTGTAGTGAGTTTATGCTCAATCATTTGTATGACGATTTGGTGCCAATTACCTTGTCCGTCTGAGATTTTCTGGAGTTACTGGTATGTACATGTACATGTACATATGTGTACATTTGTTGCTTTCAAGTTAGATGCTATTGCTCCGAGGGTATCACAACTACATTATTTTTTAGATCATCTCTCTAGACTAACCCCAAATACTGATGTTTTCTTTTGCATGAAAAATCGCAAAAAAACACAAAACAAACTCTCAGATTTACTCAAATTGTATTACCCTCTTAAACCATCGCTACAATTGTTTTTTCTAGTTGAATGCATGCTTTATATATTATTATATATAAGAGAATGTGGAAAAAAAGTAAATTTGATATTTTCAAAGAAAAAAACCCTCTATTACATCCTTAATGACTATTTGAAGATAAAAAATTTAGTACTTCATTACAAACGTGTGTAAAACTGTATTAAATATTAATTTCCCACTTTACATTGCACTTCGCTTACATGTATGAACTGTTAAAAGTTGCATTCTCAGGATCTGTAGAAAAACCTCTCACTGACCTACACTAAGCAGTATAAGGGCTTTGGGTTTTGTAAGAAAAAAAGTATATTCACTGGATTTTATTTTCACGGAAACATCCCTTCAGCGAAAATAGCGAAAATAAATTCCAAGCGAAAATTAAATATTCTACAATATTGCATTTCTGTTATGAGAAGTGCATGTACAGTGTACATGGATATCATATTTTGCAGTAGCATCTGTACAAATATGAAGATTTTGTTTGACAGATAGATTGGTCTCTGCCTGTCTGCACATGTACTACTGTCTATGCAATTATTACTGTTTACACTGCATTGTGCAAAGATGTGTGAAAGACTAGTCATCTCACTGTCTATGCCCTTTTGTTGTGATCCAAGAATGAGATAATGATAATTTCAATAACTGCAATGAATAGGGTATTTTCAATAACCACAATGAATAGAGTGTGTCCTTTGACCAATACCCGAGTTACAAGAGAAAAGATGCACACTAATGTATGGTAGCTACTGACATACATTTTTTTGGCATGTCGCTCTTCTCTTAATAGTTTAGAGTAAGCCCCATCTGTTTCACGAAAACAATCACAAAAAAAACCAAACTGTCAACAAAATTTAGTCTCAGATTACAAGGAGTATCGTACTCTGTATTGAAGGTGTGATTCTAATAGAGGGAATACTGTATCACTTATCAACACATCACTGGCTGAAAGCCTCCATGGACAGCACATGTGTTAACCAAATTTGTAGTACAAGTATGGTGACAATCTAAACAATACAATTTCTTTTCCACTCATTTGTCTTGGACTTGCACATAAAAATACTGGTCTTTAAATTAATACAAATGTTTTGCTGCAGTCCCTTAGGTGTTTATCCTGACACGATGATATAAGTGGTGTCTTCAGACAGTAGCTCAAATAACAATCCGGTTTGAGCTGTCCGCATAGGATGTCGCCGCCACTCTCATCCTGTCAGACTATTTAGTGCTTGGTTTTAGACAACTTTCCCTGTGCTGTATTAGAAATGAACATAACATAGATTTATTGTATGCTAGATTATTGAAAATATGATTACTGATGCACCTGCGTCATTCATGTAATATGTGCTACTGAGATTAATATAGCAAATACTGTATTTGCTCCATTAATGCGCTTACGTAAATTACAGAGATAAATAAGTCATCTCGTAGGGGTAATACAATACAAGTTGCAGCCAACTATTCACTGTGGTCCTTAAAACAAGTTTTACACTATGATCTACCAGGCAAAAAATAGTCCCATGTGAACAACAACTCACAGAGAACAGTTCACCTATAGTATTATTTGTCTTTGTTTCGGACAGAGTCATTTCTGAAGCATGCTTTGACTGATCACATTCAAACTTGACACATAGTCTATGTATGATGACTTACATATGCACAATTTTGTTACCATTTGAACAAACATGGCTGACTGGTAACCATTTTGGTACTAAAATTTGCTGAATTCTGGTACTTAAACTTGTCCAAAATCATGTCTCAAAGATGAAAATGGTGATTCTATTCAAATTTTTTACATATTGCGTTACAGGTGAACATCATATAACAAAACTAACCATTTTTTTTTTTATTCATGTTTATGCCGATTTCTCAATGTATCGCCATATTTCTTTGAAAGTTTGCACAAACAATACTCGTCGGTAATACCATAGATTGTGTTATTTTGTGTGAAATTTGTTGAATTGATGGTAATTTTTTTTAAATTCTAAAAACGCAGTCAGTAAATGTTTCTGGAATAAATTCTCGCAGTATTGTGCATGTCAATTTTTTTTTTTTAGATTGAACAAAAATAGCGGGGAATCATTTGATATTTTTATGGTATTTGTGCTAGTTTTTCTGTATGTGTGATGTTGTCAGTCTA